GAGCTAAGCACGAGCATACCTCTAAATTAAATTTTCTTAAAAACTAAACACATCTGTGTTTATGTTAGGTTGCTCCCACCGCTCCAATTCACCACAACAATCAAAAACCATATTTGATTATAAAGGGAAACTTGCAATTTGCCAAGATCTGAGATCAGAAATGCTAGAAACATTAGATTAAAGAATAAACGAAACTGAAATTATTACCTTGCGATAGGTAGTGCCATCTTCATCCACAACCCAACCAGCTTCTCTACAGAGAGCCTTCAAGACCTCGTTGTTATCGCAGTGCTTGGGAAGCTTAAAGTTTCCCTGAGCTCTTAGCCCGGAGAAAATCTTGGCCGCTATGGCTCGCCGTCTCCTCTCTCTCCGCTTGTTGTTCTCTCTCTCTTTCCACGTCGGAAGCCGCGCCGATGATCCCCCGCCGGGAGACGTCATTCCCTCCGGCGTACGAACACTTCTTGGAGAAGGATTAGAGAAGGAAAAGTATGAAGAACGGCACCGACTACGGAAGAGTGACTGACTTTAGAATCTCATTTTCAGAGGAGCGTGAGATGATGATTTTGGTTACAGTGCCAAAAGAGACGAGCTTCCTGCCCATTATTCACGGGAGAAGGATGCGTATAATTTCGGAAGATTTCAATTTGCCCCACGTGTTTACTTTAATTTTTATTCTGTCGTGTATCTTTGAAATGTTTCGAATTCCTACCCTAAACTCAAAAGTGTTGTACAAAATAAAATATTTAATCTAATTGTTGGTGCAAAGTTAAACACATTAATCCAATTATAGATTTATAGGATGTAAAGTTCAATTTCTAAAAAAGGAGTGCTTAGTAAGGGGTGTTTGGAACTGATTCAGTTTGTACTTCTTTTTTCAAACAAAAGCAGAATTAGAATCCATTTTCAGAAGCTGATCTCCCTCATCTTCTAAAAAAAATGTTTCTAGGAGTAAATTAGAGAACTATAAGAACTTTTTGTACTTTCACCCAAACACTCCAACTTCTGTTTCTGCTTACTAAGGAGCAGAAGCAGTTTTTAAAAATCAGATCCAAACATTCCCTAAGTGCCTAACTGCCTACTAAGTCCGGCTAAAAGTAAAAATGATAAAAAAATAAATGTATTGCGTACTACAATAATAAATTACATAAAAACAAGAAAAATATAAATATAAAAGAAAAGGTTTAGCTCTGAATTGAAAATATAGAAATCAAGTATCTCTATAATCTATTTGTATTATTAGCTCATCTAATTGTATTAATAGCTCTTCTCTATTTGGTATATTCTTCGCTAGTCTTGTATAAATGTATTTCGGACTCGTTGAACCATGATTTGATATAAATATAAGTTATATGCAAATTGAATTGTATTAAAAGCTCTTCTCTATTTGGTATATTCTTCGCTAGTCTTGTATAAATGTATTTCGGACTCGTTGAACCATGATTTGATTAATGAAAACTAATGTTGCTTAAAATAAATTATTAGCAATGGAATCAATCAGAAATCAAATAAATCACAACCTATGAAACGTTAGGTCCCAGATTGATAGTTTTCCATCACTCAGATCCTATAATATTGATACATTTCATCGTTTAGGTTCCGGATTAATAATTTATCTATCTTTCGGGTCCTGAATTGATAAAATTTCAAATTATAATGATAATTTAGATCCTAGAAAAGAATCAAGACAAGCGAGACCTCTTCATTTAATCGTTAGGTTTATTCATAATTGCATATTTGCATGGAAGAGGTTAGTCAATATCTTGTTTCCAATATCACCCGTGTAAGATGGTGTATCAATAGGATTCAGTCCCAAATACTAGAATTATTTGGCAAATTTTAAATGAGATCTTAATTAGTCCCATTAATTACAAGCATATTCATTGTAACGAAGTAAGTGATTACTCAATCTATTTACTTTGTTTCCTTTTCGGTATCGCTCGATGCATTTTGAATCATACTATCTCCCTCAAAATATTTGTCATATTAATTTTTCTTAATCAATGATGACAAACTTGAGACATTGAATTCAATTATTATATTTGTATATAATTTATAAATATAATACATTGATGAAAATATTTTGAATAAGGGGCATTTTGATATAATTTTCATATTCTAAATAATTTCATATTAAAAAATATCATTGATAAAAGTTATTGTCATTGACCAAGAAAAGTCAATTTGACGTTCGGAACGGAGGGAGTATATTCTAGTATTTTACAAAGATATTCTAATAAACATCTACGAAGTGTTGGGTAGTAGGCATAACTGTTCAAATTTGGTTTGATTTTTTAAAAAATGAAAATGGTTTTCATGCTTGGTGTGAATCCTACATGAAGATGTTCTAAGATATGACTTTCAATAATCATTATACTCGAAAAAATTAGTGAAATCTTATGAATGAATTTAATAACAAGATTTCCATGAATTTATTGATCATTGAATTGAATAATAAATGGATTAATTGAATCATGTAAAACTTGTTCACAATCACCCTGGGGTCCAAGAGATTGTTGTATCATTAATACTATATCTATAATGTTCTTAATTTAAACTCATTTGCACCCTGGGGCCCTAGGTATCGTTGGATCGTCAATATACAAAATAAAACTCATGAACGGGAGTAATTGTTAGTCTACTCAAGAGGAGGTGGAACTATAAAAAAAAGGAAATGATAGTGTGAGAAAATGAAAAAATCATTCTTTGAAATATTATCCTTGTATAGGCCAAAAGCACCATCTTTATTTGATATGGGTTTGTATCGAGGTATATGATCATCAGTGTTATATAGCACATCAATACAGGTGACAACTCAATATGTCCAAAAGATGATGATTTATTGAAACACATGACTTTAAAAGCCGCAAAGAGCATTGGGTAAGGTAGCATTCAATATTATAATATGTGGCTATGTGCCATGTACGTCGATGATAATGCGAATATCTTTGATTGGAATGAGAATCAAATTTGTGATGTCATCTATACTTGACAATCTAATGATCAAAGTTGTGTACTATTTTATTAGCACAAGGTTTTCTGAGTGTCGAACACACACACATTTATAGGGGTTCTAGTGAACTATCACACGTTTAGTAATGATCAAAGTTGTGCACTCTTTTATTAACACGAGGTTTCGTGAAATTGGCAAGAGACCCTTTTAGAAGGAGAAAATATTATAAAAGAAAACGTTTAATCTTCACCTTTTAGTTTCAAATTAACTTCTGAAATCAACTAGGTGACATTTTTATAATTAGTTTACCAAACTTACAAAAGAGACCATTTTTGAATTTAGAAAGATTAGAAGGAAAACATCATGTATATCCTAATCTATGATTGAATAAATCGAAAATTCGGAATTAATATTTTTATGGTAAACATCTCTCATTTTAATAAAAGAAATTCACAATAACATTTCCATATTTATATGTATTAATGACATATTGTTGCTACACAGCACACCCCCAACATCAACTAGATGGTGATTAACCATATTGTTCCTTATATTGTTGCTACACATCTCACATGAGTAACCGTATAAAAAATTAAATTAGGATATAAATTGATCATATAATTCTAACCATTCCATTAAAAGGTTGAATTTTTAATAAGTTGGAGTGTGGTGTAATAGTAAACACTCGTGCTACTTGTTCATATTTGTAAGAGTGGGATTGTCAAATTAAATTTCGTGAACAATAAATAATGTGAAGCAAATTTGTCTTCGCTTGCGGTTTGAAGTTTGAAGGGATGGATGCAAGATAAGGATGAGGCCCACGTGAAATGCCAATACAAGGCGTCTCCGCACGTGCGGCACAGAGGCAGTGGGTCCCGAATTCTAACCAGTGGGGTCCACTTCGAACATGTTGGCATGCCGGCGGTGCACTGGACACGTGAAGCTGGTCCCACTAAACTCTTCAAATTGCCAAGTCTCCGCTCCAATTAAAGGAGTGTTTGGGGTTGATTAAAAAAAAAACGTTTTTCAGCTTATGCCTTAAAAAAAGTTAAAAAGAGTGTTTTCAAATGATAGCTTCTGCTTAAATTAATCACTTAAAAGCTAAAAGCTGGAAGCAGGTAGAAGGGTGCTTTAAACTGCTTCTCACTTTTTCTATTACACAAAAAGTACTTATTTTACCAAACACTACCAACTTTTACTTTTTTAGAATCACTTTTTTCTCAAACACTACCAACTTTTGCTATTAATCACTTTTCCCAAAATCACTTTAAAAAATCACTTTTTTAAAGTTGAAGCAATCGCAAACACTCCCTAAGGGGGCGCAATTGCGCGGTGGAGGTTAAATTGAAGTGAAACAGTATTGCTAATTAAATGGAATATTGTTAATTTGATCCTCATATTTTAATAAAAAAAATCAATTGTGTTCTCGTACTTCTAAAAGGATTAATCAAGTTCCCAAACTTTGTAAAAACGTTTAATTAAATTCATTTATAGGTTACTTGCCATGTTCGCAAGTCACCCGTTGACGTGGCACACATGTGAAAGCCCAATCAACAATAACTTGCTGACGTGGCACACATGTGGAAGCTCGGTCAGTCATTTGTTGATGACGTGGCGCACAGGCGGACCGACATGTGTGCGGGTGACCTGCTGACATGGCAAGTAACCTGCAAATGTACTCAATTGAACGTTTTGACAAAGTTTAGATATTTGATTGATTTTTTAAAAGTATACCTAATTGATTTTTTCATGAAAGTACTTGGACCAAATTGACAGTTTCCCCTAAAAAATCTCACTTTTAACAACAATTTGTTTGGTTATCATTTATTTATTTTTTCTTGATTAATTATAATTATACATTTCGAATTTATTTTCACTTTTTTTTAATAAGAGTCAAACCGGAGGAATTTTTTAGAATGCAGAGAGTACTAATCTTCCCAAAATAGGATCATATATTTTGTCACATAGTCACATACGAAACGTGTGGCTTCATATACTTGATCTTACCCCCCTTCTTCTCATCGGTTTCCTTTTTTATCCTTTCTTTTGCTTTTCCTTTGCTCAGTGGTAGGCTTGATTTTTCCATTTGGTTGCGGCGTGAATATGTCCTTGTTCCAATCAAGAGCAATGAAGGTGATCTTGAAATGATTGTCTTCGTAAAAGTGGTCTTCTTCCTAACTTTTGTCAAGGGTTTGTTTTTCCGGCAGGCGGCTTGCGTCGTTTCTTGTCCGGTGAATGATTTGGAGCGTGAGTGGGCGGGCAATTGTTATCACGTTCTGCCTATCCATGATCTGCTTCTCTATGGACTATGGTTGATGTTTCTGGATGTATTACTATGGATCGAATCTGGAGGTTTGTGATTGATACTTTCGATTGGAAAATTGTCTGGCAATTTCTAAATCGAGTTCTGAGAATGGGAGAAGATAGATTGTCAGACCGCCCAGCTCCTGAACCGCCGCCCTGGAACGACCGAGGTGATAGGGTTTGAAAGATAATACTTCAAAAATACTGGTAGGAAAAATCTTGGAGTATTTGTCATCTGTTTTATTTTTATGGTCTTACTTTCACGCTAAGTTTGTTTATGTTGCTCTATTTTTTGTTGATGTATTTAGTTTTATGTCTACAATAAGGAATGACAATTCTGCTAGATATTATGTCATTAGAAGGATCCATATGGTCAGTGATTGTTGTGTCAAACCTGTTTGGTGGTTAACGATTTGTATTGCTCTTTCAGGGGTGATTGTCTCTGATCTGAGTTTAGCTGTAGGGTTGATATTGCTAATTGTTAGGGATAGTTGTTGTCAGGGTTGGTCTTTGTGAGTTTGTTGTAAAGATCTGAATCTTAACGATATTAATATAAGCGGTTTGTTTTAAGGATAAAAAAACTATGCACATATTTCATATTTGAGAAACACTTGCTGCCACTTCCAAATGTATGTTTATGATTAACATGCTCCATAAACAGGGTCGTGTCTTATGTAAGGCTAGAGAGGCTTGGACCCAAAATAAGGAGCCCAAAATTATATATATATATATATATATATATATATATATATATATATATATATATATTGGTACTATATACACATGTATTTTCTAGTTTTTGTAATTTTTCCCCTTGGACAGTTCGGCTTCTATTTCGATGCTTTTATTTCTACGCTTTTAGGCTCCATGTTCTATTGTCAATTCTATCTGTCTATGTTTTTTTTATTTGCTTATTTAGTTATTTGTTTGTATTTTCAAATTTTTTCTTACTTTAAATTAATTTGCTAAATGCTAATTGCTAATGTGATGTATAATTAATTTTTCATGTGTGAATGTCGATGGGCTAATTTGTAAATTTTTTAAATACTAATTTATTCTTGCTTTTTTATATTTACTGTTATCAATATTGCAATTATCGAATTCTCAATTCACAATTAATTAAATTACATGCTTTGTATTTTATAGAGAAAATTACTTATGTGTGTGTTGTTAAGGATTCCACTAAATTTATGTACAGAGTATGCATGTTTTTATTTTTTTAGTACCATGCCTCACAAATTCTTGTCTTGATTTCAAAGAGGAAAAAAATCTCGTATTGAATCATTAACTCAAAGTCAGGGCAGAAGCATTAAAAGTACTCCTTCCGCCTCGTAAAGGTTCGCCAAATTGAATTTTCTTGGTCAATGATAATCAACTTTGATCAATGATATTTTTTAATACAAAATTATTTTGAATATGAAAATTATATATATCAAAGTGTTCCTTACTCAAAATATTTTCATAAAAGTATAAAATTTATAAATTATATACGAATGTAGTAATTAAAATCATTATCCAAAGTTTGCCATCATTAACCAAGAAAAGTCAATATGGCAAACATTTTCGGGACGGAGGTAGTACGTTGTACTTGATTTCGAATAAAAGAATCACCTCGGGGAATACATCTTTAACCATGTCTTAAAAAAAGTTGAATGAATTAGCTGTGTTATTAATTGAGACAGAACTTATTAATAACATAGATTATGCAGACTTGATTAATACATCTACATCTAAAAATGTTCGATGAGATGTACTTAATTAGTTTTTTAATACATTCAATGTCATTTTATTACTCATTCTGTCATTCTCACTAATTTTGTCTCATACCATATTTGCTAATATTTGTGTCTCTAACTCAATCTTACTTTATTCTTACTTTATCAACTTATTATCAACCACATAATTTCACTTTCTTAAAAACCACACCACTCTCTTCCTTCCTATATTAGGGAGACAGATGTAGTTTAATGTAAGGCTTCAATTAAAGAATGACATTTTTGTGATATTTAATCATTAAATTTTAATGAATCCATGTGACAAAGAAATGTTATGTGTATGGCTCATTTATGAAGCTCAATTCAGGCTCAAGTTTAGGTAGGATCGATCGGCACTCCTCTATCGATAAAAGGTGGGCATTGGGTTGGGTTTGACCGAATGAGTTGTATCAAAGTGAACTAAACTAGCTCAAACCAAAATCAAATTTATATACTCCGTATAATTCAGCATGATTTGGTTAGTATAACTGTATTTCTTTCAAATGGTACTAAACCGAACAGAAATCATGAAAACCCGAATACAACCAAGCCAATTCAAACTAAAAAATTAAACGAAATCTTAATATACTTTAAAAATAACAATTCCAAACTCAAAAACTATAACCAAAACGCAGTATAATTTTTATTTGATAATCATTCCTCCAATATAATCCATTTAAAATGGATACACCCACATTTATAATTATCTTTCATGCTCAACGTATTCATGCTCCTTTCATGAGGCTCGATAAAAGTGAACGTATTCATGCTCCTTTCATGAGGCTCGATAAAAGTGAACGTATTCATGCTCCTTTCGAATACATTACTACGTATCATCATTTAATTGTTGGTTCGTTTTAAATTTGTAAGAGGAACTCCCGCTAAACCCATTCAATTTTGGAATACTAAACAACAATATTCATAGAATAAAAAAATATCATAACATTCATGTAACATCGGAATACTAAACAAATCTCAAAATATGCAGTCAAAGAGACTTATTAGTTGTCTCTTTTATTAATTATCCAACTCAAAATTCACATGCGGCATATATATGCCATTATATACGAAGTATTATTTATGCATCATTATAATCCACACTAGCTATTTCAGTTATGGCTCTGGCTTCTTCTCATTACCCTCTCCTTACTATTCCTTCCAATTCTTCTGGAGTTAAGCTACCAATATTCCAACCTTTTGCCACAAACAGAACCGTTATTTTACGTCAATTACCTAATATTATTACTTGCCGTGCTATTGCCTCTGCAAACACCAAAGGATCGCTTGCCTTCAATAGGACCCAATCCCGCAAATCCAATCTGCACTCAAATGGTTTGAATATTTTTCAGTTTGATTGTTATCTTACTGTTGTTGGTGTTCTTATAAGAGGGCCGGGTATAATTGTAACCTGGAGTTTTATTAGAGAACAATAATAATAAACACATTCTTATTGTGCATTTTGATTAAATTTAGTCCTATTTAGAGCAATTATTATTTTTATGTATCCTTTTGTTGTGTGTAACATTAATTTACAAATTAAAAATAAATGCAGGCAAAGTTCAAGAGTTTAGTGTTTATGAGATTGATGAGAATGATCGCAACAGCCCTGCATATCTCCGGCTTATGTTCAATAAAGTCAATTCTCTAGGTGACATCGTTTCGTTCACCAATAAGGTCTGTATTATTATTTATGCATGAAACTTTTTTGTTTTTATTTCATTTCCCTGTTTTTCTTTTCATGTTCTATTCTATTGATCTGTTTATACATTTTCCTCGGACTTCATGCTTTTATTTATTTCTTTGATTTAATTAGACTATCATTGTATTAGTATATGTAGAAAGGTTCTTAGACAAAACTACAAATTGAGGCTTTCTATGGAGTGTAGTTTCGTGTTATTCATGATTTGTACCTTGATATTTGTACTATAGCTAGGTAAATAAATTTGTATCTTAAAAAAGAAAATTTTGAATTATTGCCACAAGCAGTTATACAAACTTAGGATTAGGTTATATTTTTAAAGTATGCAATTTAAGAAAGTACTTCAACATTTTTAATTTTTGATATATCTAAATAACATCGTCCCATGGGTTGTGCAGTTGTACAGCGGTGACATGCAAACGCGGTTGGGAATCACAAACGGTATATGCTTTGTGATCTCTCACGATGAGGAAAATAACGGAGACCGTTACGAGGCCGTTTTCAGTTTCTATTTCGGAGATTACGGCCAAATTTCCGTACAGGGGCCGTACCTTACGTATGAGGACAGCTACCTCGCCGTCACCGGTGGCTCCGGTATATTCCTTGGTGTGACGGGCAAAGTGAAAGTAGAGCAGCTTGCTTTCCCCTCCAAGAGATTTTACACTTTCTATTTGAAGGGAAGAGTTGCGGATTTGCCATCGGAGCTTTGCTGCACCGCTCTTCCGCCGTTCTCCACCGTTGAACCAACTCCGGCTGCCATTGCTTGTGAGCCTGGGTCCACCATCCCTAACTTCACCGATTAAGTGTTCCTTAGAAATGTAGGATACTGAAATCTGTGTTTTTTATGTTTTTGTTTATTGATTATATTTGATGAGATGATCGGTTTTCTTGGTTTGCGTCTTAGATAAATATGAAAGATGCTGAAATATTTGCCAAATAATGATCTCATGTTATGTCTTTTTTAGCTTTTGTCATTCGTCACAATTGCACATTAACGTGCTAGGAAAAAGGTCATATGAGAGACTCAAGGCTAGTTTGCAACCACTTTAAAAAAAGTACTTCTCAGCTTTTGGCTTAAAAAAGCACTTATTTACCAAACACTACCAATTTTTTATTTTTCTCGGCTTTCGTGTCAAAAGTGCTTTTCCACTTTTTATACACCAAAAGCACTTATTTTACCAAACACTACAACTTTTACTTTTCAAAATCACTTTTTTCTCAAACACTATCAACTTTTACAAATAATCACTTTTTCCAAATCACTCCAAAAGTGCTTTTTTTAAAGCAGAAGCTGTTGCAAACACTCTCTGAGACCATTGGGACTTGGTGCCAATTTTCATTGAACCTTAGCTTAGTGGCCAGAGAGAAAACTAGAAAAGATGCGGGAAACTAATAATGCTGATAAATAAAATGATAAGACAACCAAGCAACCACTAGATCTCAAGTTCTCATCTAATCAGATTAGCTGAATTATCTTTTGCACGGGATAATAGACTAATTATAGAGTGATTTGATATTACTAAATATAAGTTCACTTACAAATTAAGCCTTTACTCATATTTAATTAGTAACTCTAAATTACTTAGGAGTTACTAACAATAAAACACACGAGAGTTACATGAATTGTTAATATGGGATGGAATACATGAAATAAAATTTCAACATTTCATTTTTTGCATAAATTTTAATAGTTACTCTACTAAGAAAAATTGTACTTAATGAGCTTTTAGAGCAATTTTTTACACCCCTACGATGCACCATTTCTTGAACCCACACTATTGTTTATTTTTACCAAAACTGCAATATTTAAATATATACATTAAATAGAAAACATACATAGGTTAAAATCAATGTATATATGTAAGAGGAACTACACTAAAATTCCTAAAGTATACATAATAGTATTATGAAAAAGAAAATTAGATTATGTTGAGTATAGTGCGAGCCTAAATATATCAAAATTATCTTATATGCATTAGAAAATCTTAGCTCAAGAAGACAATAATTGAACAACAAATTTTATCTTCTCAACTGTCCTATAATCTTTGACAAAGAATATATAGCCTCTCCCCCCACGAGCAAAAGCGGAATAAAAAGTTGAAAGGAAATGAGAATAAAAAATTTAAAATGGGTGTGAAGAATTTGATAACTGCAGCGGATTTCAATGGCGTCTGAACTCTAATCAATTATGAGGGCAAAAGCATGAAAGAAATAAAAGAGATAACAACATTAAAAAAGGTTGGCAGGAGTCGAAACAGCATCAAGGAGTAGATGCGTGAAAACTAATCTGGTGAAGAAAAAACTGTATGTCAGTATGTGTGCCCGATTGAAAGGCTTCCTGAGCAAGAAGGTGAGCAACTGTATTAATTTCTCTGTAACAATGTACGACAATTGCCTGTAGAATAGCAATTACCCAGTTGATTTCATCCAGATAGGGTGCTGAAGTAGATTTTTTGAGAGCTTTGCATAATGTCTCCGAATTGGTTTAATTTCAATCTGGACCGTCTCATATCTCATCCTTTGACACCATTTCAGAGCTTCTAGCACTGTCCAAGCTTCTACCTGAAGAACAGACCCCACCGCCAGAGGAAACGAAAGTGCAGAGATAAAATTTTCACATCCATCGCGGAGTATAGCACCACCAACGCCTTTTCAATCAGCAAAAGAAGTTTGACGCAGAGAGCGAGGGTGAGCAGTTTTTCCAAACTAATACTCTAATCAACTCCGAACATGTAGAGGAGAAGAAGTTCAACTTCCGAACATGTAGAGAAAACTTGCAACGAACTGTTTTAAACCTGAGACCTCTGTTCCTTTCCAATGCCATAGTAGTAATAGAGAAACTTAGTACACCAATAAAAAAAGAAAAACTTAGTACACCATCATGACACACTACTACAAAGCTTAGATTGTTACACTAAATATGACCTTTATCAAGTGAAAAGATGTCAACAAATATTCCAGTTGAAGGTGCAAGTATGGATGCAAACGTATATCAATATCAATATATTGATGTCAAAAGTATGTTAAATTTGAGCAAATATTGAACACATATTTTCTGCCTCTTAATATATGTTAAAAGTATGTAATCAAAAGAAGAATTAAGAAACGAATATATGTTAAAAAATATTTGTTGCCTCTTAATATATGTTAAAAGTATGTACTCAAAATAATTAATGTCAAGTTTAGGAATATGATAAGCTGCATTTTAAACAATCTATTATCTTAACCGTTTATCCACAAAATAAGGTATGGAAGTGATTACTATTTTCAAATTCAGCTACAAAGCAATGTGAATATCTAGTCCAAAAAAGAGTGGTGAGGCAAGTACATAATAAGTTTAAGCAATGGATGATGACATATTTTTGCAATGGAGCCAAAGATTCATTATTTTTGGCTTGAGAATATAATAGAATAAAGCAAAATGGCTCACTAAACTGTCTGCGCTTCTTTGTTATGAAGCAGCAGTCAGTCCATGCAATTTTGGACGCGATTTTCACTATGGGTCATCCGGAAACAGTCTCTCTGTGCTTGTACATGGGTAAGACTGCGTACATCCGACCCCACCCCCTCTTACCCCACCGTAGGTGGGAGCCTTTGTCACACTGGGGTAAATGAAAATGAAAATGATGAATGGATGATGACATACATATATAGAAGCTCCAATAGATACCTCTTAAAGATAAAGCTGACAAAAATATCTGTAAATTATTTACACGGACAAATATATCAAACAATTAGCATGTAACACCAAAATTTCAAATTTAGTCAATCATTAGAAATAGGTTAAAACTTAAAAATGCAGTTATATATAATTGAAACTAAATATAATTTTTCAAGAAATGTAAATCCCCATCATGAATATGGACAATTAGATTTTTTTAAAAATCTTTATAGGAGAAGCAAAAAATGAATCTAGCCACATATTGCATTTTATCTCTTATTGTTATCACTATGTTGTTTGGTAAATAGACCAAGAAAACAAAGAACACCGATGTGTTCTTTAAAAGATATCTACACAAACAAAGATATCAAACAATTAGCATATACTACGTAATATCAAATTTTCAAAATTAGTTAGGCATTAGACATAGGTTAAAAATGCAGTTTATAGCTGCAACTAAATTTAACTTTTTCAAGAAATGTAAATGCCCATCATGATTATAGACAATTAGATTTTTTAAAAATAAAACAGCTTGAACATGACCCGTGTCAAATGAAGTTCTCTTCTCTTTTATTAATGTGTTAAGAAATCTTTGCCGGATAAAAAAAATAAAATCTAGCCACATATTGCATTTTATCTCTTATTGTTAAGAAGTTCTCTTTTCTTTGGTAAATAGACCAAGAAAACAAAGCACACCAATGCAAATGAAGATAAAAGGTAACTTTAGAGCATACCATGGATCGGTTTAGTCAAAGAAAATTGGAATCCAGCAAACATTGGAATCTAGCTTTTTTTTATCAAAAGATGTTGTAACATAATGTTTAAAAACCTTATATATGTGGCTCACGATTTAACTTAAGAACTTTAAATAATTACTTGTAGTCCAATAAATAAAATAGTAAGTCGTAACTTAAGAACTTTAAATAATTACTTGTAGTCCAATAAATAAAATAGTAAGTCGTATACATGAAAACTGTCAGTTTGTCCCGTAAGTTCTGGGATCCACGTTTCCACAGCGTGGGACTCCATAATGAGACCAAAGCGATATGAGTTGATAGAACACATCAGAAGCTTCAATTTAAGATCTTGTGGGCCACAGACGAAGTTTTTAGGTAGGTTGTTTAACAACAGTGAACATTTATTAGCAACAGGTAAAATTCACAAAAATATACCGGATTAATAAGAATGAGTAAACAAAACAAAAGGTTATGAAAGAAAAACAGAATCAAAATGAATATGGAACAGAAGAAGAAAATGTTTATGATAAAGCAAACAAAATCTAACAGAACATCGAACCAACCCATAGTAAGTGCAAGAGAGGCAAAATTGCAGTCATATAAAAATTCTCTTTAATCATTTTCCCCTTTTTGGCTATGACTTAATTTAATGGGGAGAGAAGAAAAATGGTAGATGTTTACTCCAACAATTCTCTTATTAGGCTAAGACTTTGGGAGTGCCAGGAACATATCATCTAACAATTTCAGTTCATCACTCGCAATAAAAAAAACCATAATCAAACTGAATAAGGAACCAAAGTCGAAAAATTGCAGATTAAGTGAATAATGAATATGGAACCAAAGACAAACAATTTCAGTTCATTCTCCAAAATTGCAGTTTTTCATTTAAAATGCAGATTTTTACTTGAATGTTTCTCTTTGAAAAAATTGCACATTTCATCAAACATGTTCTGTCCATAGTTAACATAGTCAATAATAAATAATTCAATATTTTCCATAAGCACAAACGAAATGGCCATATAAGTGAAATCGAAACCAAAAGAAAAGGTTATGTAGAAAAAAACAAAAACAAACGGAATTCTAAACTAGTCATGGACCCGGTTCGGACCGCCCGTCCCGGGACCGGCCCGGCCCGCTACTGTGCGGCTATGTCTGAAGCAGAAGGAGTGCTCAATTCTGGCTGAGCGAATAAGTCACAAACGATCTGACCGAATAAGTCACTTTTGTGGTCAAGTCATAAGTAAACAAGGTTGTATAGCTGCACGATTAAGTCGTCCATTCAATTCAGTTCATTAAGTTGCAAGTAAACGGGGCCAAACTTGGCCATTCTTTTATCATGAAAAAATTTAGTTGTAGACTATTACTTCAATTAAAATCCACCAGCAAACGAATATAACCTAAAACTCAAGACTTTAAGAGAAACTAGGAGCTCAAATTTAATCATGCTTCATTAATTAAACCAACAGATGATGGGAACACTGAACACATTAAAATTTTAAAACTAAAAAGATTACTTCAAGTACACAAAGTCCAATTGTCCAAACGGCCATACCACACAGACATTGCATATATTCGTTCGTTAATAACATTGTAATGTATGTAAATTGGGAGAAATGGGGAAAAAAATTATGCAGAGTTACTGTTGCCCCTCAGCTGATTCCCGCTTTGAACCTTCCTTGATCTCATCTCCAGCATCCTCCTGAAATAACAATGGCCCACCCATACTTATTTAGTTATTATGCTATTTAATGTGAAATTAAAAATTGTTACTTCCAATCAGCCATCACAATGACGAATTTGCTGGACTAAGAGAATGTATGAATAACATAAATTGTCACATTCAAATAAGAGAGTGATTCTAAGAATCGCAAACTTTTAGGTATTTGACACTAACTCTGTTGTATGAAAGAAGAAAAACTGAAAACTAAAATCATTACAATCACCAGAATCAGTTTCCTGAGGAGTGATCTATTTTCTGATATTAATCCCTTTTTCAAGACCACATAATCATTTCCACGAATCCTGTCATACACACCTTAAGAAAGGTGGATTTTTTAATGTTCTGTGGATGAAAACAGCAGAATCATATTTAAACAAGCTCGACATGAATCAGTTTCTGTGGCAAAAGATTGTTTTGGACTAGTGATTATGGTTTTAGCTGTGTGGGGATTAGTTACTTAGAAACACAAAAAGGCCAGTATGGTGAAACAAGCATCAACAAGTGATAAAGAGAACTCACAAATCTCGCAAAGAAACACACTCAACAAGCACAAAAACACACAGATGGGGGAGGGGGGAGAAAGAAAGAGAAATGGAGAGTGACAGAGACCGTGGCATCAGAAGTCCACAATGTCAGATTATCTCTAAGAAGTTGCATGATCAATGTACTGTCTTTGTAAGATTCTTCACCCAGTGTGTCAAGCTCCGAGATAGCTTCATCAAAGGCCTGCAAGAATCAACAAGTGAACAAATACTTCAAGTTTTCATACAAGCATGCACACATATGTAAAAATGCCATACACCCATCTGATGTTGGAAATTTTTACATTTCCAAGAAAGTGAACGAATCAAGTGCTTGGATTCCACTTTTTATATTGGATATCTACATGTCTGTTTGGCTTTTTGAAAGCTGCATTTTTACTTTTTACAGTTGCTTCCTGAAAATTCCAAAAGATTAGTTTAACATAATTAAATTTCGGTTGCTTCTAACTCTCATAGGACAGTAACATTCTCTTCTGTTTTACCACTTCCTGTTGCATTTAATTCTGAAGACCACATAACCCCAATAACTCTGACTTTATCAGACACAGTTCTTCAAGAATGTATGGTACCCAAACACAAATTCCATGACAACAATTTCACTGGAAAACTAGGTGTTAAAAAATTTGGCCAATTAATTCGTGATGATGAACAGATGCCAAAAGGAGATCCATTGATAACATTTCATTGTATGGCTACTTCTCAAATAACATTCTGATAATGGAATATTAGTTCACTTAAACAATGTCTTAACTCCTTTACAACAATGCATTAAACTAGAAATAAAAAAGAAGCAATGGCATCTCACTCTCTCTGGCCCATAAAAAAGTACCATCATATCTTGACTTGGCTGGAGCACTTCTTTTAGAAAAATTACATTAATTCCTACGTTTTAAACAGGATTATTTTAGCACAAAAACAAGTTTTTAAGGGACTTATTATGGATGGAGGAAAACACTTTCACACAATGTGCACCCTATAAGTAGATCCCATTCTCTGTTTAAACACTGAATAAATACAATGTGCATGTAATAAAGCCAAACTACTACATGTCCGAAGGTAAATTGAGCTATCAGAGCAAGTGACACTTCTGGGAGGAGAGAAGCTAATATACCTGTTTTGCAAGGGTGCAAGCACGATCAGGTGAGTTGAGGATTTCGTAATAGAACACAGAGAAGTTAAGGGCAAGTCCCAATCTAATGGGATGAGTTGAAGCCAGTTCACCCAATGCAATATCCTGCACCACCCAGAATAAAAGTGTCTGTGAAGCTCAATCTGCACATACTCATTTAGGGTTCATTTGGAACTCGGAATAGAGGAAACTGAGAAAGAAAGAAAATATGAGAAAGTATAAAAAATTGCTTCAAACAATCACACTAAATATAAGAATTTTTTATATATGTTCAAACTCATTTTAATTATTACACAACACCAATCACATATTGTAGATGACAATAGTAAATATCTCAACATATTGTCATCTCATGATACTTTTCGAGGAAACAACCTATGATGATAATGGTTTCAGAATTTTCATCTCACTATTCCCTCTTATAAAGGTTGCCAATGAAAGGACTCCACAACAACAACAACAACAACAACAAGCAAGCCTTATTCCCAAAAGATTTTGGGATCAACTAACATGAATAGACCTAAAAATTTATGCTTTATTCTTTTGACATGAATTTATAGTGTTATTTAATTCTATAGAATTAATTTCAACTACAAATTTAATGCCACTGATCCCAGTTCCAACTAGTAGGGACTAAGGTATTGAAAAAGATAATGTGTTCAAACACATTTTACCTAAATGTTCTATTATAAAGGCAGACATAATTACATAAAAAAATCATTAGTGGTTTCCCCCCTTTCTATACCAGTTTTTGGGTCCAAAAATAGCCTTAAGCTCAATAGAATAAAGTGAATCAAGAAAAAAAAAAGCCAACCTGAGCAGACTTATATGACAACAAAGTGTTCTCAGCCGCTTCTTTCCTCTCGGACCCAGTCTTAAACTCGGCAAGGTACCTATAGTAATCACCTTTCATCTTCAAGTAAAAAACCTTAGTTTCAGCAGAAGAAGCTGCAGGAATCAAGTGGGACTCAAGGAGGTTTAATATTCCATCACATATCTTGCTTAGTTCAGTCTCAATTGTGCCTCTATACTCTTTAATAGTTTTGACAAGGTCCTCATGTCCACGGCTCTCTTCCTTTTGCTCAATAGAAGAGATGATCCTCCATGAGGCCCTCCTTGCACCAATCACGTTCTTGTAGGCCACTGACAGAAGGTTCCTTTCCTCCACAGTTAGTTCATCCACATCCACGGTTTTAGCAACCTTCTCCATGAACTCAACCATTTCCTCATACCTCTCGGCCTGCTCGGCCAATTTTGCCATGTAGACATTCTCTTCGCGAGATAGTTCAGTTGACACCATCTTTGCTGTATTTGTTAAATGCCAAATTCTGCATCAGCACACCAAACATGAAAACATACGCCATGCCTTCATGTTCAATCCATGATTAAAAGGCCATAATATTCTGATTATATATGTTAAGTTCATGGAGAAAATAGTTCAGAGCACACCAAACATGAAAACACACACCATGCCTTCATGTTCAATCCACGATTAAAAGGCCATAATATTCTGATTATATATGTTAAGTTCATGGAGAAAATAGTTAGCCTTTGAGTTAAGAAATAACCAAGTGTTGGATTTTAGTTTCACAAGAAAAAACTAAAAAGAAACAGAAAATCCTTATGGAAATGTATTATCATGCATCAGGATCATTTAAACCCTTTATTATGGCCTAATGGGGAGGTTGACTAACACTTTGACTTGCTGAGTGCTACTTAAAGCTAAATCTTCCAACGGAATCTAAAAACAACAAAATGTAACTTATTGGTTTGAGCCTATATTGTGTTGTTACTAACAATAAATACAATGACCTCTTGCAACCAGTAAATCAAAATACTCCCTCTGTCCCTAAAAGAAGTCCCATTTCACTTATCGAGGGTCAACTTAAATCACTCTTAAACTCTTACTTTTTATATCAAAATTTTATAAAAGTTGAATTATTTTTTGCAGGCTTTGTAGCGGGTTTAATGTAGTTTCTGAATATGTAAATTTTATTTACTAAAAATAATCCGAGTTTTCACATGGATCATTTAACTTTATCGTTGGTCAACCTTCGTAATCCGCAATTGGAACAACATTTAGGGACGGAGGGAGTACATTTTTGAAACAAACACCCATCTAGTGCTAGACCACTTTCCCTCTCCTTACGAGAGTGTCATGCTATAATGCTAACACCAAGTCCCTGGCCTCTTACAGAGTTCTATATAGTGTCATATTGTCATGTTATTGAGTTTTGACGTTTTCAGCTGCACAGCATGGACAACAAATTAAATGGAACTGTTCATGGAAGAAGTGTACCAATGAAACAAACAAGATCCTAATGTGTAATATCCCGCAATTTGACTTCTCCAACAATTTTCTATAGGTACGACATATAGGTACCTGAGTTAGAGTGAAGACCTTTTTACTTTTCAACCAAACAACCTAATAGACCCAGATCTCATAATCATAGAAAACAACATGCCATTTTCAAACCACACTGAAGTTTTCATTGAGAACACTGAGAAGCAGGCGACTAAACTAGTTCGAATTCAGCACTAAAATATCTCTCAATAGTTGAGTCCAGCACACTACAACAATGACAAACATAGACACAATCCATTGAAACGCTCTAACTACACATAGATGCCTCTATAGCATTAGTTGGTTGTACACAGAAGGAAATGAAACGACACATACTGCGCAGTCAGTATTACAAAACACAAGTGCTTCTTCATAACCGGCGGATCAGATCAAAAGCATTTGCAGTCTACTTTTGATCAGTGCTACTAGATCAAAATAAACGCAGTACTACTTCAAACTAAACAAAGAGATAAAACTACAAAAAGAGACCGTAATTAAGAGCTGAAACTTCGAATAGTTAAACGGAAGTTTTACTAGATCAGTGCTTTTAGATAATTGAATCAGCCACTTCCAGGAAAAATTTAGAGATCTGATCGTCCAAGCACGACTAGCAGCAGAAAATGAGATAGAAATTTACCAGTTACGCGGCAAACGCTGGGCGGTTTACGTCACTCGGATTCAGGTCTCGGGAGAAGAAGAGCGGTTTATAAAGCGAGCAGCGGGAGGGGTTTGGAAAGGCGCGTGGTGGAGGGATTCGAGCAATATTATCTGACAGTCACGCGGAATTACAGGCATCGTGACAAGGCAGTATCAATCAGGCCAGCCAAAAGTTGAGCGAATGTTCTATTCTGCCCTTGTTTACATAATTTGACATTTTGACCTCCCTTTGACGGTTGACCGGATGCCTTATCTGGGGCGAATCACATTTTTTAATCACATTCATTACACGGCAATAATTTCAAAAAGTAGGTGGTTTGAACTTTGACCCCTATATGTTAATAATGGATCCAAATCCGAACGGTTTATCTGGTGGGTCTGAAAGTTTGGATACGAACCCAGACCCAACGGATCTCAAAACTGGGTCGGATATACTCGCCAAGTATGAGAAACACACTATTATAAACTTTGTGAAAATAACAAGGTCTGTATATGAATGTAAAGCAAAGTTCGCAAACTTAAAAACAAAATGGTTATTGTATTTATTGTTAGTAACCAAACATATTAATAGAATAGAGATTGTGAAACAATAAAAGTGGATATTTTATATCCACTGCATTGTTTCACAATCTCTATTCTATTACTATGTTTGGTTACTTAAGTATAAAATGAAATGTTTGGTTACAAAATGTAATGTAATGTAATGTAATGAAATCTCTATTCTATTACCATGTTTGATTACAACTATGATTATGTTTGACAAAATCATAGTGAGATGGTTGTTGTAATATAAAATAAACTAATCATATTATAATAAACCAAATAAAAGATTCTGTGAACTGGATTTTCTATCGTGCAATGCACATTCAAAACTGTTTAAAATTGTGAATAAAAGATGTATTCTTATTCTTTTTTAATTAAGATTTGAAATTGTTACTCCTAATACAAAAAAGGCATTTTTCAATTAATATTACTAAATTAAATTAAAAAGACAAAAATAAGACTTATTTTAAAATTTTCCAAAAAGTGACATATTTAGTTACTAGTTCACGGTGACTTGTCATCTACAGTGACCTGTCATTCTAAAATACACTATAATGACTAGTCATATTTTTATCCGGAGAAACTATTGAACAGATTCATGGATTATTTATAATTTGAGAAGTATTGCTCCCTTTACAGCTTAAGGCCCGATTGAGAAATGATACAATTGTTTAAACAATAATTAATTAACGTATTTCGAATATATTTTGAGACGTATATTTGATGGATATACGGAGTACAATATCAAGAGGTATTTGATGATAACTGTGAAGGTTATATATGTTTTATTTTTAATATATTTGATAATAAAGATAATATTTAAAAGTGCTTATTATATCTTTAAATAGTTAATATTAACCTTTTTCTATATATATATATACTCTGTGTTTTACTTATATGTACTTACATATTACTATTCTCTGTATAGTTAAAAACAGATTAATATTTTGACAATTATATTTAACTCTTCATTTAGTTACATGTTCTTACAACACTACCTACAATACATGAAAATCATCAAGCTAGGTTTATGGTTACATTATGTTTTTGATTAAACTGATTTTTTTGTTAAAACAACTCATACAACTATTGACACTAACATTGACAGAGACGAATGAAAAAACTAACGCACCTATACCAAAAGAGAAGTTATTGTGAAATAACGTAACAAGTTATCCTCAGAGGGGTCCTTGCAGGTCTATTTATAATAAAGAGTTGCAATGTAAAAATACATAAATATCTCTAGATAGATTATTACACCCCTCAAGTTGTGCGGGAGGAACAATGCGCATGTAGTCTTTACAAAAATGAAAACGTTGATTAGGGATACTTTTAGTAAAAATATCTACCAGTTGTAGATATGTAGGAACATATTGAACAATCAGATCACCATGGGCCACACGCTCGCGAACAAAATGGTAGTCAATCTGGATGTGCTTGCTCCCAGCATGTTGAACAAGATTAGCAGTCAAGTACGAAGCAGAGACATTATCACACCATAGATGTACGAGAATCGTGATAGGAAAGCCAAGCTCAAACAACACGGAGCGAATATGAGGAATGGCGCTCAGCGTCATCTGAGGAATAGCAGTAGGCGGAGTCCAGGGAAATCGAACCAACAGATTCTAAAACAACGTGAATAGAATTGAACTTGTCACTGGCGGCGTGAATGAACTCACAAACCCCGAAGAACTGGCACCAATGAAAGGAGGAGTAATCAAGACAGTAGAGGTCGAGCGAGTACGGAAGGGGGGTTGCACCGACGTGGAGATGGCCATTGTAGAAGTTCCAAGCGCAGCCGAAGTCATGACGGAAGAAGAGGAATGCTGCATGACGATCGGCGCATGAGAGAAAGAAGGAGGTGGCGGGATAAAAAAAATCTGGGTTTTTCACACTAGTGCAAAATACACATTCTACAACTAGGTGTTTAATAAGGGATCACGTTCAACCGTTATAAAATGCAGGCACGGGGTCATATTTATAAATAATAAAAGTTAAGTAAGTTCATGGGCTTAGAATCATAAATATAAAATATTATCTATAACGGTTGCAAGAATAACCGACATTGTTAACTTAAAACGGGGTCATTTAAATAATTTCAGGAAACATAGTTTCGAAATGGGGGCTATTTTATAATATTTGAAAATACTTTTTATGTCAGCTGAATCCTAACCCTTACGAAAGAAACGAGCGTAAAACATACGAAGAATAGGGAGTACATTTAACCTAGTGCGCGCTGGCCTAAGAGTTCACTTCATCTCATCTGTTCATCTATATGCATAAACCCTCGACGAAGAAGACTGAAAAGACGACTTCGACGGAGGAGACAGATTTGAAGACGACCGCTGTTGCTCCCAATCAACGGACGGAGGTCGTGATCACTGCTGCTGCCAATTAGCGGACAGAGGTCGCTACCGCAGCTGCTCGCGAAACAGAGGACGAACACTGGTTCTCTCAGAGTCGACCCACTGCCCTGCTCTCCACCTTAGGTAAATTTTCGATACCATGTGAAATAATGGAACATGTTACCCTCAAAGGGGTCCTGACAGGTCTATTTATAATAAAAAGTTGTAATGTAAAACTACCTAAATATCCCTAGATTATTAGTTACGAGGGACAGATAGACCCTATACATTATTGATAAATAATGTTTGCTTCAACTTTTTGGGAGTACAACGTTACCCATGCATGAAGGCATGTTACATAACATTGATAAAATATTGTTTTTTTCAAGTATATTTTTATCCAATTTTTTTTATTGGCGTATGCATGTACACAGATAAAATGATGGAACATGTGTTAGAAACCTGTGAGAATCATACAAATATGACATCTTTTTCTATTGAAAAAAAATCTTCGAGTAGAACCTGCACATTTGAACATGAAACATGTGATAATCATAAAAACATGGCATTTATTTTCTATTTCAAAAAAAAGATTCTTTGAGTAGCACTATTAAATCTAAACAAAACAAAGACTATATGCTCTAATTCAAAATATGTTATCACTCATCTAAGATGTCTTCAAGAAAATCGATAGTGAGTTTATATGTCCAATTGAAGAACCTGCCAAATAATTTACTTTTGCAAAATTAATTTCTGTTGAAGTTTGAAAACAATTATAAATTAAAAATAGGAATATTTGTTGAATCCATGAATCCACCCACCTAAATAAGGAGAACAATAAGATAAATAGTATTCAACATCAATATTTTGTTAACAATAATGCCACCATAGATTGAGTTCAAAGAAAGACACTAAAGCTGGTTATTTACACTTGAATAACATATGAAATAAAACAAATACTAAAATTCATTTGATTCAAATCAGAATTAAAACTTATAATGAGCAAATTCAAATCAATACTCTGTATAAATTGGGAATTTTCTTGCATTCAATTTCTAATGGTAAAATCAAGTAGTAAACTTCACTTTTGAGTCTGTTTGGTTCATTTAAGTTGATTTGTTTCAATTTTTGTCAAATTTAGCATATTTTGATCATTTTCAATTGAGTAAATTTACTAACTTTACAAATTCGAAAGCATAAAACGAACTACCTAGAGTGAGGTCAGTTTTGGTCATTTTTCATTTGGTTGACTTCCGATAGAAAGGTCTTTAATATGGACAAATTTATTAATTACCCGACCAAATTTGTGATAGAATAGAATTACAGTATTAAAACTAGACACAAAGAAAAATTATGAAATTATATTCATAATTTTCTCTAAATGTAGATTAAGAGTTATTTAAGCATCATTAAAGTATAGAGAGGGGGGTAAGAGTATATTTTTTAAAGTATAGGGGTGTGATTGATAATGCATCAAACCTCAAGGGGGGTCAATGATAATTTCCCTAAAAAATATTGTAAATGCCAAAAAAATTAAGCATTAACCCTTGTAGGCATAGCTAATGTTTTTCATTCTCAATGACAACTTAGAGAAAACCTCCTCGCCGGTTTGACAATATATATTGTCATCCCTAGCAAGAAGTTGACTGGCTGTAATAGTTTTATTTTATTATTTTCATTCACGTGTCCGCCTTAAAATTTTGAATATGACACACTACTTAATTAATTCATTCAAATAACTTCACAAATACTTGTCCGTATATAAAAGTGGACTTCAATTCCCAAACCCCAATGCAATGAATTGTCACTTCATCACACATCTTTTATTGAACCTTAACTCTTTATTATACCTTGAGAAGCCAAATAGGCAGTATCTTGAGCCCAACAAAACTTTACTTCCACATGTAGCTTTTCTTTAGCCGACACAATATATATATATATATATATATATATATATATATATATATATATATATATATATATATATATATATATGTTGAGGTTTATTCCCGAAGATCCGAAAGCCCAACACGAGCTTTGGATATTGTAGGGATATTGGGTTGGGTTGAAAAGTGTATAAAATATAAAACAGTGAGATATTCTTCAACTCAGTAGCTTAATTGTATTCAGTAATTCTGTGATTACAGAGAAATTACCCGAACGGTAGGTAAGTGCAAGAATACAAGGATAAGAGAAGTATTTCTATTTGCTAAGCTCTGAGTATTAAATTGCTAACCATTTACAATGATCTAAACATGGATATTTATACTACAATGGG